GGTGTGCAAACCAAATAGAATGATGCCTTTGGGTTGCACCAAGTCTAAAACCGAGTGGATTTATTTTTTGTCCCATAATCCTCCATTATTATACAAGCCTTAAATAACTTTGCAAAAATTTTAAAAATCAACTCTAATGTTTTTTTTTGTCTGAACCCTATCCATTCTCATACTAAATCTATGTTTTGTAATACATTGGACACATGAAAATATTCTTTCTAACCATATTTTTTTGAAGTTTAAAGACAGACGAAGAGTACAACATTTATCCAAGTTTTAAGATGCAATAAATCGACCCAACTTGAGGGAAAAAATTAGGGGAAAAAAAAGGAAGGAAACTCAGTTATATCTTTAATAGAAATAAAATTTAGACCAACACGAAAGGTAAAAATTGAAGCCCAAACACGGTGTCAGCTACGAGTATTTTTCAAAATTTTGTTGTAATACAATTTTAGAATTATGAGTTCCCACACGCTAAAGAAGACATAAAACGAAAAGATGGTTATCCGCTTATAGGTAGAAGAACAGTCAATATATCCCAAACGAAAAAAATAAAAAAAAAAAATCTTCGAAAATGAAGCACGACATTTTTTTTAATCATTTTTTTTTCCACTTTGATTCCATTGGGCATTCCGTATCTATATAAACCCACCAAAATATCCCCTTCGACCTAGCAACAATCCCAGTTGCAAAGTTCAATAATATTCCACGCACAGAGAATTAAGCCATGGAGGATTATTCTGTTCTTCAACCTCTGCCTATGGCACTCTTTTTCGCGGCCTCTCTTTCGTTTCTGCTCGGCCTGATCTTCAGGTTCCGCCGGAGGTTGCCCTTCCCACCGGGCCCAAAAGGCCTGCCCTTCATCGGCAACATGCTGATGATGGACCAGCTCACCCACCGGGGGCTCGCCAAGCTCGCCCACCGCTACGGCGGAATCTTCCACATGCGCATGGGGTTCCTACATATGGTTGCTGTTTCCGACCCGGAGGTCGCCCGCCAAGTTCTTCAGGTATACCTTCATTTCTCAACTTAAAAAGCTTAAAATTAAATCTCTTTTATAATACAAAAAAAATACCTGTTCTCGAAGGTTATGTTTTTTTTTATATGTTTATTTTACCTTTTTTCCCCTAAAAACACATTAAAATTAGGATAAAACTTACATTCTTATCTAGTCCTACTATAGTGCTTAAAAAAAAAGTTAACAAATAAAATAGGTTAGTCAAAACGAGCATAGTTCAATGATTAGTATATATCTCGAGTTCAATTCTTCTCCCCTACCTATTGTACTAAAAATAATAATAATAATAATAAAAGAGGTTAATAATAGAAAGGGAAAAAGAGGAAATTTTGAAAAATTTGAATAGCAGTGAATAGGAAATATCCGCACCTAATTGCTTGAAAGAAAATTCCTGTGAGTTATTAGCTAAATTTTATAGAAAAATACTTAAATGCTTATCCGTAAAATTTTTTAAAAAGTACAAAGAGAAATATTTTAAAAAAAAAATAGCTCTTTATAACATCTGGTTCTGACCAATGAAAACAGTTATTTTTCATGTTTAAAAGTATAAAATTCCTTATGTATTTAAAAAAAACAGAGTTTGAAATTTCTAGTGCACTCCGATTAGCTTCTAACTATTGTTCAATTTTAGAATAAAAAATAATTTTTTATCTAGATTTTTGAAAAGTGGATAAAAAAGCACCGGAATTAGTGTTAGTAAATTTAAATATTTAATAACTTATTATTTTTTTAAAATATTTTTTATTTTTATATTTCTTTGTCAGATATTTAATTGTGGTAAGTATAACGAGGAGCGAAATATTTTTCTTTTCTAAATATAAAACGAAGCAGTTATTAAGGGGTGAAATCGCTCCACCAAAAATAAATAAAGGAGGTGAAATATATTTGATATTAATTGACATTTATTATTTAATTTATATTGTTAACAATACAAGGTGCACGACGGCATCTGTTCAAACCGTCCGGCCAGCATCGCCATAAGTTACCTGACGTACGATCGTGCCGACATGGCTTTCGCCCACTACGGCCCTTTCTGGCGACAGATGCGTAAGCTGTGCGTCATGAAGTTGTTCAGCCGTAAGCGAGCCGAGTCCTGGGAGTCCGTCCGGGACGAGGTCGACACCACCGTCACAAAAGTCACCCTCCACGCCGGAACCGCCGTGAACATCGGCGACTTAGTGTTTCAACTCACCCGAGATATTATATACAGAGCCGCATTTGGGACCACCACCATCCAGGGCCAGCACGAGTTCATAGCA